CACATAATAAATCATAAACGAAATTAGACCCGATATTGGTGTCGAAAAAATATTCGGACACTTAATATTACATAAAATTTTTTCTTATTTAGAGTGTATGTAACAACAAAATTATAATTTTAATATTGATTTAATATTTTGTGGGATATCCCTTTTGTCTGATGACGTGTTGCAAACATGTTGGCATGTTTGAAATTATTTTATTTAAATAATTTTCAGTAATGCATTTCCACTCTTCCGTCAGTCATATTTTTAATTTGTCTTTTGTTTTTATAGGGGTGGTTTTAACATTACGATCCAATAAGTCCGATAGATTTTTAATTGGATTTAAATCCGATGACTGTGGTGGAGGATGGAGCATTTTCGGACAAGCATATAATAAACATTCCTAAACTATTTTCGATTTGTGTTTCGGATCGTTATCCTGGTAGAACTTAAAACTGTCTCGTATATCCATATTCGTTGCATTTTTTAATAAATTTTTTATTAATGTGTCTAAATATTTGTTCTTGTCCATAATATCTTCAATAAAAACCAGCCCTCCTACTCCAGTAGTAAAAATGCAGCCCCATACCATCAAGCCTCCACCACTGTGTTTCATTGTCGGTCTTATATTACTTATTTTGAATTGTTCATTTGGTTTACGCCACACTAATTTTCGTCGATTGTATTTTGCAAAATTCGTTAACATCCTTTTATTATACGCAAGAAACTGTAGCGTGCAGCGTTGATTTTTTCGCCGCTACAAAGTCGATGTTGACATGAAATTGACTTAACAACTATTGTTACATAGACTCTAAATAAGAAAAAATTTTATGTAATATTAAGTGTCCGAATATTTTTTCGACACCAATATCGGGTCTAATTTCGTTTATGATTTATTATGTGGAAAGTATTTAATTTTACATATTTGTAAACTAGAATATGCGCTTTAACTCATTACGGATCAGAAAATTCGATAATCGGGCATTCGAATTACCGACTTCGACTCGAACAGTCACTTTTCGATCATCGAACACCACGCGCATTACGATCAATAAAGTTCTCGTTATTGTTAATCGGACTACGATTCATTCACCCTTCACCCCTGTATATGGCACGGTTGATAATCCTGAAGTATGAACACATTCTACAACTAAAACAACGCAATGGCAGATACTGAATCACAGAAATTGATGATATAATTCAATATGGGAAGTTAGTCGTATAGTTTATGTTTTTCGTTATTCAAATATAATTGTTACATTCTACAAAAAGGATATGCGTTTTCTTCGATAACCCAACAGTATAAATTAGGGATGGATTTAGGTATTCGTATATAATATTATACTATATGATAATTTTTTACCTTCATTTAACTTAAAGCATATAAGTATTATTTATATTCAACATATAAGACGGAAAACTGAATGTTAGCTTACTGAAAACAGTATGTTATAAGTTAGTTAATAATTATGTGTTTTAACAAAAAATCAACTTAATTAATAATAATATTAATGAACTGTCGATGTAACTGTTTTTTGTTCATTCTTAATTTCCAAACTAATTTTAGCTATAAGCAAGTCATTTGTATAATATACTATATTTTAGATTGTATGATAATGTATAGATTTTCGTTTAACTTAAAACATACAAAACAAAAATATAGGCTTTTATAACAAATTTTCTTTGTATAAGTAAATTTTGTTTACGTTCGAAAAATTTAGGAATTGACAGTACGGAGAGATTTCTTTTCATGTAGCAGTTAACAACTACAGCCTTTCTGCCAGCAGTGAATTCTTAAATACCCCTATGTCGATAAACTGCATAATCATATCGCGATACATAATGTTTGCAGTCAACCGAAAAATGTGAGGGATCCATCACACACCAGTGATTCAGTATTTCACCCAGATATTCCCGCACAGAAATTGTGTCAGCGTTTAAACAAAAATTTGTGATCGTGTTTTCTGAACATGGAATTGGTTTTTGTTAGTGACGTGTTTCTCGAAATATCGAAACCTCAAAATCTCTTGAAACACAAGAAAGTTTCGGGTTTCGAGAATTTGAAACTTTGCACACTTTTCACAATTCAAAATTCTCGAAACACGGATAAAAGAAAGTATAAAACTAATAAATAAAAATTGTTCGTAGCATAGCTTGAGAATAAAATAAGATATTCATCTAGCAAAACAAACTCACCACTTCAAGTTTTAAAACTTTCGAGCTTCAAGAATTTCGAAATTTTATAAAGCCTGTATCCAAGTTTTAAAAATGAAAAAAATTGGTTTTGGAATTAAAAATTTGTAATCCTAATCTATATAATTTATAAAATCTATAAAATTTATAAACAAATATAAATTTGTATCATATTTTATAAGATACTTTTAAATGAATAATTTCAACGCATGCCTTGAATACGTAGAACAAAATTTTGTAAAATATTTTTGTCGTAATAAAACTTATT